ATGCATTAAATCTGGGAGCAGTGCATTTAGATTGGGACCAATGCATTTGCAGTGGGAGCGGCGCATTTAGAACAGGACCAATGCATTTACAGTGGGAGCAGTGCATTAACTCTGGGAGCAGTGCATTTAGATTGGGACCAATGCATTTAGAGTGGGAGCAACACATTTAGAACGGGACCAATGCATTTGCAGTGGGAGTGGTGCATTTAGATCGGGACCAATGCATTAACTCTGGGAGCGGTGCATTTCGATCGGACCAATGCGTTAACTCTGAGAGCAGTGCATTTAGATTGGGACCAACACATTTACAGTGGGAGCAGTGCATTTAGATCGAGACCAATGCATTTAGAATGGGAGCAACACATTTAGATCGGGACCAATGCATTTGCAGTGGGAGCCGCGCATTTAGTTTGGGACCAATGCATTTGCAGTGGGAGCGGTGCATTTAGATCGGGACCAATGCATTAACTCTGGGAGCAGTGCATTTAGATTGGGACCAATGCATTTAGAGTGGGAGCAACACATTTAGATTGGGACCAATGCATTTACAGTGGGAGCGGTGCATTTAGATAGGGACCAATGCATTTGCAGTGGGAGCGGTGCATTTAGATTGGGACCAAATGCGTTCACACCAGCAGTGGTGCGTTCACACTGGAGGGCAGTGCATTCAGCCCACCAGTGGTGCATATACAGTGGGAGCGGCGCATTTAGATGGGGACCAATGCATTTGCAGTGGGAGTGGTGCGTTTAGATTGGGACCAATGCATTTACTCTGGGAGCAGTGCATTTACTTTGGGACCAGTGCATTCACAGTGGGAGGGATGCATTTAATTGGCAGAAATGCGTTCACACCAGCAGCGGTGCATTCCCACGGGGGAGCTGCGCATTCAGTCGTACAGTGGTGCATTTCCATGGTCGGCGTTTCAACGGGGGATCTTTTTTCTTTCCCGAGCAGGGATCGCCGGCAGCGAGCGGATCGGGGTTGGGGGTGGATCCACGGAGAGCCCGGAGAGGGTCGCGCCAAGGGCTTGAGGGAGGAGGCATCGGGGGCGGGCACCATGGACGGGCACGCCCTTGGAGAAAGCAGGTGAGGGTCCCCCGAGGCTGCGGCACCTGCCCGATTCCCAGGCGCGTGGGGGAGGCGGGAAAGGGGGCCCCCGCCCTAGTGGAGTGAGGCCTCAATGTGAAACACAGGAAGCAGGCCATTCAACCCATTGACTCTGCTCTGCCTTTCGATCATCCTCAACTCCACTCTCATGCCTTTCCCAACCATCACCTTTGATTCCCCTTCCTGATTAAACATCTCCCTCTGTCCCTGTCAGCCCAGCCCCTCTGCGGAAAAGAATTCCACAGATTCGCTCCCCCCTCGGAGAGAAGGAATTCTTCCTCCTTTCCATTTCGGTGGGTGACCCCCTTATTCTGAGATGATACCCCCGCAGGTCCCTGATCTACAATCAGGTCGCCTCTCATTCTCCGAAACTCCGACGAGTACGGGCCCCTACCTACTCAACCTCTTCCCCCTCCGTGAGACGCTCCCCAGGATTAACCTTCCCCGCACTGCCTCCGGTGCCCGGTCTATCTCTGCTTGGATACGGGGCCCCCGAAACTTTTTTTTGTGGTATCCCAGCTACGGTCTGACCAAGCGCCTTGTGTCATTTTAGCCAAAAAAAAAAACCTCTCTGCCTGCTTTTGGACTTCAATCCCTTCGAAATAAAGGCCAACCCTCCACTTGCCCTTCCCTGTTCCTCGCTGAAGTTAGACGCTGGCTTTTTGAGATTCCCAAGTTCCCTCGGCCCCGTAGCTGTCTCTCTCCCTCTAAATACTATTCGGTTCCTCTGGTCTTCCTGCCAAAGCACTGAACCTCACATTTTCCCACCCCCCCCCCCCCCCCCCCCCCCCACAACTCCCCACTATATTCCAAATGTTTGCCCGCTCGCTCAACCGGTCTGTATCCCTCTGTCCCATCCTCAGCTCTTGCCTTCCCTCCTGTTTTTCTCTCATCACCAAACCTGACCACACCTCACTCAAGTCGTTGATAGATTGTAAATAATCGTGGAACGAACATTGATCCCTGCGGGATTCCAGCAGTACAGGTTGCTATCCAGGAAATCCTTATCCCAACTCTCTGTTTTCTAATAGCTAGCCGTTCCTCCATCCAGTATTCCCCCTCCACTCTCTCTTATCAGTGTCACGCCCGTGTTCTTGACCGTCACCCTCAACTCCCTCCACCCCCCACCCCCTCCACCATGGCGACTCCCTGTAACTCAGCCTCAACCACCCCTCGTATCACACGGCTCTCCTTGTCCTGAAAATTCAGGCTCATTCTCAATTCTCCTCCTCCCTGTTAGCTTACAGAACCATTCAGCATGGAAGCAGACCCTTCGGCCCAACTCGTCCATGCTGACCCAGATATCCTAAATTAATCCAGTCCCATTTGCCAGCATTTGGCCCATAAACCCTTTCTATTCACGTCCCCGTCCAGATGCCTTTTAAGTGTTGTAATTGTACCAGCCTCCACCACTTCCTCTGGCAGCTCGTTCCATACACGCACCACCCTCTGTGTGAAAAAGTTGCCCCTCGGCTCCCTTTTTAAGTCTTTCCCCACTCACCTTAAACCTATGCCCCTCTAGTTTTGGACCCCCCCCCCCTACCCTGGGGAGAAAAGCTATCCATGCCCCTCATGATTTTATAAACCTCTGTAGGGTCACCCCCTCAGCCTCCGACGCTCCAAGGAAAATATCCCCAGTCTATTCAGCCTCTCCCTCGAGCTCAAACCCTCCAGTCCTGGCAACGTCCTTGTAAATCTTTTCCACACCCTTTCAAGTTTCACAACACCCTTACTATTAGCAGGGAGACCAGAATTACTTATCCAAATGTCTTTTAAACGTTGAAACTGTACCCACATCCACCACTTCCTCTAGAAGTTCATTCCACACACGAACCAACCTCTGTGTAATAAAATAACCTGCCCTCATGTCCTGTTTAAACCTTTCTTCTTTCACCTTAAAAATCTGCCCCCTAGTCTTGCATTTCCCCCACTTCTGGGAAAATGCCCTTGTCTATTCACCCTATCCAGGCCCCTCATGATTTTAAAAACCTCCTACGCTCCAGGGAAAATAGTCCCAGCCCTCTCCTTATAACTCACACCCTCCCTACCCGGCAAGATCCTGGTAAATCTCTCCTGAAGCCCTCTCTCCAGTTTAATAACATCCTTCCTACAACAGAACTGGGACACAGTTGCTCCAGAAGGGGCCTCACCAACGTCCCTGTACAACCTCAACGTGATGTCCCCGAC